TATAAAGGAATAAACTGCTCAGAAGGTAAAAAGAGCCTGTTAAATTAGCTATTGTATTGTTGTTTTTGGTATTGCCAGCTTTTGAGGCTCTTTCAGAGTCAATTTACTGTTAAATCACAATATATATGTCATAGGCAGTGTCAGTCATTAAAAGGTGACTTTTTCTTGGAAGCAATGTTGTGTGACCCAGATAGTTGTGTTTCTTCTTTCACCATGTTCACAGTCATCACCTACTTTCAAAGGTATATATTGGTAACCGTATTTCCTCTTATAATAGCCGTCCTTCGATTCTCGCCCCCTTTGACAGAAATATTTAAAATAATCGCCCCACCCCTTTCACTCTCTTCTCTTTCTTTTATCCCCTGCCTGTTAATTAAAATTGGCACCCTGGTTAACAAACTTGTAAGCTTTCATTTACTGATTTGTTTACAACTGAGTAGTTACAATAATGATCAGTGACTACTCAAGCTCTGACGCCGAGGATATTGACATTGAAAATTAATAAAAGCAACAAAGTTGGAACTCTCAAAAAGCGCATTTTCAGTTTATTTGATTTGGTTATTATTTTTTTGATAAGTAATTGGATAGTAAAAGAAAATATTTATTGCACGACTTTCAGTGAACAATATTTGAAATAATCGCCTCCCCCGAATAACCGCCCCCTAATTGGTGCGTAAAAATAAATAATCGCCCCCGGCTGTTATTCGAGGAATACAGTAACTGATGCGAATTTGCTGAAAAGTATTTGTGGAAAAGTTGCAGTTGGCTTAATTCTAATTCTGGCTTAATTTTAGTGTAGAAAAATAGCTCACAGAAACAACCTTGCCTAGAAGTATGTCCAGAAGTTTATATTTATAACGATGAAAAATAAATTATTTGTTAAACCAGTGGATTGTTACATTTTATTCCTTCACCTAGTTACTTGTGAGTCGTTAAATAACTGTTCGAGTCACGGAAACTGTACTGGTCCAAATAAGTGCACTTGTGAAAGAGGCTTCAAAGGAGCGGTCGATTGTTCTGAAGGTTAGTTTTAAGATAATCAGACAGATATTTAGACGAACCTATAAAACCATACACTGTTCTCAAACCCCCAGTAGGCGAAGGGATAGTTTATTGATGGGAGACTATTAGTTCTTATGTGAGAAACTTTTTTCTTCCAGCGTGTCAGACACCTTCTGTCTGACACGCTGGAACCCCTTATAAGACCCACTTTATTTTACGGTCAATATGTTTTGGACGATAGTACTAATCGAAGAGACTACTAAAAGTATGTTTACGTCTCTTTCGTTGCAACAGACAACAGCAAACAGTTTCAATGCCTAAATATAACCTTTAGAATTCGGTTGATGCGAAGACAAGTTTCAGCTTTTTAGAAAGACACAAAGTACACCAAATCCCATCCTAGAAAAAACAAATTCTTAGGTGCTTTATCGAACGAAATCGGGCGTCCTGGACTCTCTCGACATTTTGGAACTCACTTGTGCCCTTTATCGAACGTACTTTTAGCGGGTGACATCTAACAAAAAACACGTTTCCATTTTACGGGCACCTCTCTGTCACGGTTACTTTCAGACTATCAGTTCCCAAGATACCAAACTTCATGCAATCCCCGTCTCTGTAATACGGACACCTATGAAAGAGGGGCACTGGACTTTGTCGCTGTAATGTCCTGATTAAGGCGGTTTGGTTGTATTGCTTTGGTCAGTCCAGCTAAATTACTCGCTGTTTTATTTCTCTTGCAGTTTCATGTGAATCTTTAAATCATTGTTCGGGACAAGGTGAATTGCGTCATCCACTGGATAGATTTTTATCCGGTGCATAGCGCTATCCAACGTTTGAACAACCGGGGCCTGTTCTTTAAGTAATAACTAACTGTAATATCCATGGTTTCATTCCCAGTTTCGTGCGAATCACTGAACAATTGTTCAGATCACGGTAACTGCAGCGGACCCAATGTCTGTACCTGTCATTCTGGGTTTAAAGGAATTGCCTGCTCAGAAGGTATTTTCTGCATGTATAATCTACCCAGACCTGTCCTTTTTAAAATTTAAGGGAATAGACATCGCTTGACGCCGATCCTTTAAGGCACAGAGTGATTAGGATACACAGGCTGGCATCCATATTGTTGTTAACAAGTTCAACTAATAGGCCTTGTGTAACGACAAATACGGTTGTAATTGACTGGGCCACTAGAACGGTATTAAGTTCAAGTACCAGCTCCGCGACCGAGTGATTCAAGGGCTAAAAAGATAACACAAAACATATTTATGATATAACAGAAGCAAAGTGCGCCCTTTGATTTGTCATAACCTTCCTCGAAATTGAGAGGTCCTACTCGTACTGAAATGTTAGTACTCTTGTTTGAATTCCTTGTTTAAGCCCAACATGTTTTGCCTACATTGTTATTATTCGTAGGCTTAAAAACAATAGAAAGTTCTGGCAGGCAAACACGACAACTATACACGCATGTTGCTAATTGCTAACAATTTTATGATTTCTCTCATAAATAAAGTTTGATATGACTATTTTATAACACCAACTTAAAAGTGTGTAATTATTGGACGCAGTTTCCTGTTACTTGGTAAACAACTGTTCAGATCATGGAGCTTGCACTGGACCAGACGAGTGCACCTGCGAAAAGGGCTTCCAGGGAGAAGATTGCTCAGAGGGTATGTAGAAAAGTGTCCGAATTTTCTTTCTTGTATGGGGGCGACGAAGAAGGCGCAGGCTAATATATACTTAAGTGATGCGCCATTCAATCAGTAAAAGATCCATAACTACCGTCACGAAAAAACGCTGTACGAGTACTATCCCACGGGCGGTTCCTCCCTGAAAATTAATTTGCTATTAGTCATGGGGCGTGCAGCTGAGTCTTTGATGGAAGCTACAATCAGGGACAAAAGTGTTGAGACACTTCCATAAAATAGCCCCGTTTTTACTCAGTGGACATATCTATCCTCTCCTCATGTGTACCCCTACCCTCTTCCCCCCAAATCAGACCCTCAAGTCTTTCATTTACTACAAACAACAATGATTCGAGGATGGGGGTGTTTACGGCGTTTAAACAGAATGAAATGATTGTTTGTTGATAAAAACGGCGTTTGAGACAATTGTGTCAACCACTTTTGTCCCTGATTGTAGACGTATTTTCGTCTGTCACGCAGGCTAAGTATACATTTGTTATTTCTTTTATTTGCAGTTGTTCCTGAAGACGAAGGTGGCATTCTTAAAAGCATTGGCACGCCAGCTATCATTGGTATCTCAGCTGGAGTGGTCATTGTTGTTGTGACACTGTGTGCGGTTCTCATTTTCTATTGCAAGAGACGTAGAATGAGAGAGCGGCGCTTGCGCCCTCGGCCACAAAGGAAAAGTATGGTCTATTTGTATATTGGCGTCTTTGATTCTTTTCTCTTTTTTACGATTATCTTCCACCAAATAAAAATGAAAGAATCGTTGAGAATCAATTGAAGGAAGCCTAAAGAGACCAGGAGCTTATACAACATATGCTTCTTCTGCTAGAGTTAAATTGCAAAGATTAATGGGACAAAAGTGAAAAAAAAGGTAAAATAACGATTGGTGGTAAAATACGACAACAAGAAAGAGGGAAACAAATGAAAGAAATTAAGGGGAAAGGAAAAAAAGGATAGGACAGTGTGGAAGGTAGAAATTTTGTAAAAAGGCGTATTTTGCGGGGCGAATCACGATATTATTTTCGGGACTAATGCTCTCCCGCCATTTCAGACGTTGAAACTGGCGGAGAGATTGGGCGATTCCTAAGACTCAATCAATGTACCTCTGCGCTTTTGTTTTACAAACGCCTGCTCTATGGGCTAGTGAAAAGGCATTTCTTGCTAAATAGAATATATGGGCTTATAGTGTAATACATCATACCTGCGAAAGAATGTTTAATTTCATAACAGATAAGTACGAAAAGTGCTTGTTTCATTTAACTAGTGACAGCCCTCGTTGCAAATGATGCTGGTGGACCCTATTTAAACTGACTTCGATGCTTGCCATAAAAATAAAGGAACTTAATATGTACAGTGGTTGATGTACCTATTCTAGGTTTTGCTAATGATCAGTAAATCTCGTGGAAATACATGGCAAAAGTTCGCAGACTTTTTGCAAATAGGATCTATTCTCAACCTCCGTCGCTCGTATGTATTCCTTTTGTTTCCCTTTGTGAAATTTTAGCAAGATTAATATTGGTTTATGGTCTTCACTAATAGCAATTGAATGTTAGTTTGTTATTGACCACCAACATACTTTTTTGTTTTGTTTTCAGGTTCAACTGCGGTTTTTAGGCCCCCGAACTTGCCATCAAGTGAATGGGTTTTTACCACAAGCTCTGAGCCAAGTTCCAAGGCGCATGCTCCTCCTTCTCGGCCTCCTAGTCGTGTGCCTGTCTTCTCCTATCAAAACCCTGCTTACCAAACAGGTGCCTTGACAGAATAGGGCCACATACCTGTTAACAAGAGTTGTGTGCAGTACTTATACACTTACATGTAGCCGTGTCCTAAATCTTTTGAAAGATATTTCGCACGTTACCCTCAAGAACCTCGACCCAAGGCTTTTTCGCTAAGGACAAGGTTACAACCTCAAGTGAGGTATATACTCGTAAGGAAGGCTTCAGCCTCTATCACTCTTGCTTTCTTCGGCATTACACTGTGCGTCCTTACTTTAGTGTGTGACATTTTTTTGCTAAGCCAAGCTAGCTTATTCAATGATCCTTTATTTTCTCTTTGAAAATCGTTGAGCCCTCGTATGAAAATCACATCCCGCGGAGAGTCGGATTTATCGACCGCTAGCGCAAAATCATCGCAAAATCATCGCAAAAGAAAGCGTCTGTGGAGGTGCTAAACCCGGACTCTCTGAAAGGTCTACCTTAGTGGGAATGAGGTCTTTCTTGCTGCGTGAGGAAAGTTATTTGAGCAGGGAGTGCCGTTTCTACAGTGTACGTTGTTCTTAATTATGAAAGTTTGTGTTATGGCGATAACGATGACGATAATTGTAATGATGAGAATCACCAAAACGATGACGACTGAAATACGATGACGATGCATATCTGAACAGTTTAAGCCCTTGTAATGATGAAGACGTTGACGACAACGACAGCGTTACTAATGAGAAGGCGATGAAAAAAACGGATAGGGTTGCAACAACGTCGTTTGATATTTCATATTTGCAAGCTTCCTAATTTTGCTTCTTCTTCTTTTTAAGTGATTTTGATAAGGTGATGATGATGATAATTTTGATATTGACGATGAACATTGGATGATGTTTACGAGTAGAAAACACGACCATAACGATTAAGGCCTTGTGAAAGCGTTTGCTATAGCAACGGGGAAGACGATGAGAAAAAAAAAAAATGTTGCTTCCAAAATTGCTGATGGTTTTCGTATGAGGTGTTCGACGATATACCTTAAAACCAGTGCGTATTATCGTGTAAACTGAGCTAGCAAGGAACAAGGTTTATTTATAGTGTTATATCTTCACTGATTACTTATTAACTCATAGCATAATAAAGAAAAACTCCGCGACTCCTTTGCAACAACTGCAACAGAACGAAATTGTCAGCCTCCACAAGGAGAGTTGGGTCATGTGACTAGATATTTGAAGACAAGGGAGGTTGAACGTTAACCGTCGGAGGATTAAACGTGTAAAAAAGTGTTGGATGTAGCATGCGAAACCAGCCGTTTTTCCTCGCTCTTCGCTGCTGGAGACGTTTCGCGCGATGGAACGTCTGTGACTCAGCGACCGAAATTCCATACTAATGACGTAAATCGATGTTTACAAAATCAATTTTACGTTTCTTCTGATCGATTTTGGTAAAGTGTTGTGTTGACCTGGGAACAAGATCCAGCAAAACTCAAATGCTTCTTCTACAGAAGAATATATTCCACAAATATTGACTGTATTGTTATAGATTCATTGTCTATCATTCGTAAACCATAGCTAAAACAATGTAACTACTCCGTCGACCAATGAGCGCTTTTGACCATATTCCAGACAGATTTTACGTCATCAGTATGGAACTTCTTTCGCTGAGTCGCAGACGTTCCCTCGCGCGAAACTTCCCCAGCGGCGAAAAGCGAGGAGAAACGGCTGTTTACGCAGGCTATGCTTGGTGAGGCCTTGGTTAGAATGTCTTTTGGGTTGTATTTGCAGAAATCCATGCAGGGACAAAGCTGAAGCAAAGCATATTTAACCTAAGAAAAAACTAGAACTTAGTCGAAACTTAAAGCATACAAACCTCCTACTTGATAAGGTCACGTATTCCGCTATAATTTAGTTGACTATCAAGTCTAGTACTAATCGATACATTTTTTCAAGCGTGCTCTTACATTCTTACCAGCGTATGTATACAGTAAAATCATTGATGCTATTTTTGATTGATCAATTAAAATTGGCTTGGTAAAATTGGTCTGTAACTCGCTTTACGTCTTCTCTTTTTAAGTACACCGCAAGAGAGATTTCGTTAACTCGTGGCTTGCCTGCTTTTGTCAGAAAATGGGATGCATTAAATGGCTTAAAATCAGTTTCAGTGAGGTTCAAAAAAGAGAGAAATCTCTAGAGAGCGGATCACATGCATATTAAGCGGACACGAGCGTCAGTGTTTAAAAAAATTCTTCGTTCGTGTCACGCTTAATTCCAAAAGCCGCTTCCACGTTCACGTAAATATTGTCACGAATCACGCATACAACAAAACTTAAGAGCCAGTCTCTGTAAGATCCTCATATTGAGTTTTACCCACAAAATGGATTTCGCTCATAATTTTTCTGTAGGCTTGTTTATATGAACTAGATTGGAGAAATTCGCTTCTGTAATTTTTTTTAACGAATTTTCTTTCGGCGCCACACGAGGACCTGAGATGCTTGTGAAATATGCAAATTTTGTCAAAATTCAACCGATTGCTCCGGATAAAAGAGTGCGACCCAAAGCTTCCAATTTACTAGTTCATTTAATTGAGCCTTTATCTTCAAAATAATACAGGTCAGAATCATCAACACCTTTTCGTTTAGAAAATCGGAGGAAACACACTTAGCCCCTTTGACCCACTTAGCGAAACATACGATTTTAGCCAAATTCAGTGGATTAAATCTCAAAAATTCATTCAAAAATCTAAAGTTCATTCGATGATACGACTTTGAAAATCTTCAATGTTGAAACACTGGAAAACTTTGCAAGGAGCTGGGTAAATGCCCTTGACACCCTTTATGACTTATTCTTGATACCTGATAATCTTCTTTGTGTGGGCTAGAGCCTAAATAAATACAACACGTTTCCACAGCTACGAAAAATAGAATCTATCACATGGTTCAAATAAAGAGGGTTTCTTCAACTGAGAAGTTTATGATCTGCTTAATAAATAAGTGCAGTTCTATATTTCTCACCCAAAGCAAATAAAACGGAATTTTCACAATTGCATTGAAATAAAATACAATTTAGATGTCATAACATAACATAACATAACAGAACATAACATATTTTATGTTATATAACATAACGTAACATATTTTATGTTATATAACATAACATAACATATGTCATATAACATGTTGTGTTGTGTTGTGTTCTGTTCTGTTAGAACATCAAGCCTGGCAGATATTCAGGCTCTTGTTTTTCTTTTAATACACTCACAGAATGTTACTTGAATTACTAGAGCACAAATAAACCCTAGACGTGAAAAAATGCAAATAAGCTT